AATTTTAGATAAATATAAACTCAACCATAATTTTAAATTTACTAAAATATTTGGGGTTATCATAATTTTAAATTTAATAATGAAAAGTTAGTATCCAAGTAATATTCATTCATGACCTCTTTAGCCATATAAATTGCAAAATAATTAATTTTATTGCAAGTTTTATCAACAATTGATGTTCCAAGAATTATTTAATGTTGATGATGTTATTAATTTTGTCTGTTATAGGGGTTACCTGTGAAGAGCAAGGTTGTGATTGTTTTCAAGCATCCTACTATGTAGCTTTCTTAGAAGTTATTGATTTCTTTACAGGTATTATATGTATTTGTTTAACTTTCTTAGTTTAGTTTAAACTATTCAATTAGTATGGATAAAAAATGGATGTCTTCCAATCGATTGTCTAAAGAGTACGAGAATGGGGTATCGAAATTCGTTAAGTTTGTTGTTGAACACGCCAAAGACCCCAGTAGGATCACATGTCCTTGCTTAGGTTGCTGTTATGGGCGTCGAATTGACGCTGTTCAGTTGGAATCTCATTTAATGAGACATGAAATTGATCGAAGTTATACATGTATGACATTACATGGTGAGATAAGTAACGAGAATGTCGAACCCGGGAATAATACGACCTATGCTTCAAAGAACAATGACAGAGATACATATGATTGTGATTGAGTCGAAGAGATTGCAGAAGCACTTGAAGAAGATCTTCAAGATTGTCCCAAGATGTTTGAGAGGTTGGTAAGCGATGCAGAGAAACCGTTGTATAAAGGTTGCACTACTTTCACAAGATTATCTGCGGTATTAAAGTTGTGCAACTCAAAGGCGGGTAATAGATGGTCGGATAAAAGTTTCACAGAGTTGTTAGCCCTACTTCAAGAGATGCTTCCGGAGGATAATGTTCTTCCCAATCGAACCTATGAAGCTAAAAAAATGTTATGCTCTATTGGCATGAGCTATGATAAGATACATGCTTGTCCAAATGATTGCATTTTGTTTCGAAATGAATATGCATCATTAAACGAGTGTCCTAAATGCGGTGTATCTCGGTATAAGAAAAAGTTGTCACCAGCAAAAGTTTTATGGTATTTTCCTATAATTCTGAGATTTAGACGCATGTTTCGTAGTGAAAACAGATGCAAAACACATGACTTGGCATGTAGATGATAGAATTATAGATGGTAAGTATCGACATCCGGCAGATTCACCACAATGGATGAAAATTGATAATGAGTATCCTGATTTTGGAGAAGAAGCTAGAAACTTTCGCTTGGCAGTATCGACTGATGGAATGAATCTGCATGGTCTGCAAAGTATCTCACATTCTACATGGCCTGTAATTATTATGATTTATAACCTACCTCCATGACTATGTATGAAGCATAAGTACATATGTAGGAACAACATATGTGATTGAGGGTGGCATCCGTCAAATACCTATGGAGGAAGGTATTTTCGGTTTTGAATATACCGAAACAATTGCTAAGGAGGATTTGGACCAGGTTTTCCAACATTCTGAATTGGGCGTCGGTGTTATGCATTCCTACATCAGGTACTCCGATCCATTTTAATTAAATAATTGAACATTTTAAAATTTGCTCATTTAACTGAATATTCTAATGTTGATTATGTTTTTCTTTTAGGCTCTTGTATGACAAGTTGTTGGTCCCGTATGATTTGACTTCCATATTCACATTCTTATCTGCTAGTTGTATCAACTCACGGACAATAGATCACACACCAGATGTAGTCAAAGATTACATAGTCCAAAGATTTATGGCCGCGACTACAGAGAAGTTGTTCTTGTTGCCATATAATACTGGCCATGGGTATGACTTCATTCTAAATTCATTTATTATAATTATTCGATTTTTGCCATTCTATATAACATTTCCGTCTAAACTGTTGTCTTATTTTATAGTGGACACTGGTTGTTGGTCGCGATTAATCCGATGAAAGAAATAATGTATTATCTGGATTCATTGGATGACGATCAAACAAAATATCCTGATATGAAGAATATGATTGATACGTAAGTGATGAGATATATTGTTCTGAATAATTATATATCTTTATTTATTATGTGACATTGTTCTAAATATGCGTTTATATTATGTTAGAGCTATACAAATATTCAGAGCACAAAGACAAGCAACAGTGCCAAAAAGCAAGGCTAACAACATTAGCTGGATCAGAGTGCAGGTATATTTTCCCATTTTTGACTGTTATAGTGGTCCTACTTGATAAAACTATGTAACCTATATATCCTGATAAATGTTCGTTTGTTTTTCCATTTACAGTGTCCTCGTCAGCGCAATGGGATTGATTGCGGATATTTTGTATTGCACTTTATGAAGGAAATTATTCATTCTGGTCAAATAGAGATTTCAATCATGGTATGGATCAATTCATAAATTATATTATTCATTTTGATAATTAACCGATGTTTCATCTAAGTAATTAGTTTTAAAACAAAATTGTGCATGTTCTATTATATTATGTAGTCCTTTGATGAATTTAAGTGTGGTACTTACTCGAAAGCAAGATTGGAAGAAATAAAGGAGAAATGGTGTCAATTTATTCTTGAGTTGAGAATTGTATAAGGTATATGTATAATTCAATATTGATGCGGGATAATAATATTTCTGGAAGTCGTATCTATTTGTAAAGTTAACGGATTTGTAATTATATGGAAATTGACTGTATTTGTGATGTTGTAATTCTGAGGATCGGATTCTGTTGTAATATATTTAAGTAGGTTTATGTGTATTAAAATTATTATGGGCAAAGTGATGAATTACAATGTATACTTAAAGGTCAAAGTATTGAATTGTATATATAAGGGCAAAGTGTTGAAATAAAGGTCTGAATTATAAGCAGAGAATGTAATATAAGCAGGTTTGTCGAAAAATATATAAAAAAGTGTGATTATTTTTATAAAAAAAAATTTTAAATCGTGAAAATTAGACAACGCTTTTACAAAAAAGCGTTGTTAAAGGGGACAAAGAGAGCGCTACAAAAGCGCTGCTATAGGTGGGGAAAGGGGAGGAAGGGGGGGTCTAAGAAAACGCTTTAAAAAAGCGCTGCTAAAGAGGGGGGGGGGGGGGGGGGGGTTCTAAGAAAACGCTTTCTAAAAGTGCTGCTAAAGGGGGGGGGGGGGGGTTCTAAGAAAACGCTTTCTAAAAGTGCTGCTAAAGGGGGAGGGTAGGGGGAATAAGCAGCGCTTATAAAAGCGCTGCTAAAGGGCTAAAAAAACGCTGCTAAAAGTGCTGCTGAAGGGAGCCTTTAGCAGCGCTTTTTCCATAAAAAAGCGCTGTCTTTACCTTTAGCAGCGCTGCTAAATGCAAAAAAAAGCGCTGCTAAAGGTCTTTTTTGACATATTGTATCTTTATGGTAACAATACAAGTGTCATTTAAATTGTTGCAAATCCTCTTTTACATGAACGTACCAAACATATAGAAGTTGATTGTCATTCAATCTGTGACGCATATGATGACTGACTGATATCACTTTCTCATGTCAGTACTCAATTGCAGGTTGCAGGTATTCTTACCAAGGTTGTTCCATGCCACATCGTTAGTTTCTTGTTAGCAAATTGATGCTCTTTGACCACCTGCATCAATTTGAGGGGTGATGTTAATCAGGAATCGGTATTTGCTTTTATTGTGAATAATTTATTTTCATAGATTAGAAGATTAGTCACAACGAATTGTAATTAGTCATTGTAGATTATAATTAGTCATTATAAATTGTAATTATTTGTAACTATTAACACTACTATATATAATGTGAAATACAATAGAGAAATGCATTAAGTCAAATTTTCCGGACAAAGAGATGGTAGAGTTTTGAAAAATAAGAAGGATTGAATGAAAAGAATAAAAGAATTTTAGTTGAGAGGATTTCTTAAAATTTGCTTTTATTCATAACACCAAAAATCTCTTAAACTAGAAAAACTCAAAATTTCAGTTCTCTTACCAACACACTCCTTCAAATATCAAATAATGAAATATAAGGCAACATGCTTTCAAGTCAAATATTTTTTTATGGATATATGTATGTTAGTATTTTGAATTATCTTCCTTTTTAGAAAAGGATATTACATCTTAATACGCTTAATCTAATTGTTCAATTAATTTTAACCATATTTCATGTATAACTAAAATTTTATCGAAAGAATTTATCGATTATTACAATCCTATAAAATTCAGAGATTATTTTTTACCGTTCAATACAGAAGATATTTGATTAATATAAAAAGAAATCATCTATATAATTTTTGAAATAAATTAATTTATATAATGATTATTATATGCCGTAATAAATAAATTGATTTCTAATTAGTTGACCTAAGAAATGAATAAGGTAGATTTAAATATTTAGCAGTCTTCTAGTTAATCTTGAAAGTTACTCCTATATAATAGTACTTTCTATTTAGCCCTAAAAATGAAAGAGGCGTGCATCATACGCGCTGGAGTTGAAGTTCACTCAACACACACCTGACTTTCTTTCTTTATTGTACTATACTGCGCTCGCTCGGCACCCACCCACTGTAAAGAAAACAAAAAAGAAATGAAACTTTCTTTTTCTTCCTTCTTGGATCTGACTCCATAAATAAATAATCTCATCAATCACATATGCACAGAAAGTCAACTCCTAATATGGTGGACCCCACTGAACCAGTTTTGTTGGTTAGTGACATTTGTGGCGTAAAGGTCGCAAAACTCCACTCTCCCGTGTCTCTATAACTCAACTCAACTTATAGCCATTATCACTATTGCGTCATATTCTTTCTTTTCTTATTATTATTATTATTATTATTATTATTATTATTATTTTATATATTATTCTCAAACACCAAATTCCTCAACGCACTTTCACATTACAATAATCATCCTATACCACTTGTGTTGCGTTTCTATTCATTCTTTTCGTTAATCATTTTCTTCATCTTCATCACCACTCTAACTTCTTCTCTACTAAGATATTTCTCTCTCAAAATGGAGGATCTTCCACAAGGTTACCGTCCTAACGTTGGTGTCTGTCTCATCAACTCAGATGATCAGGTTTACCTTCTCCTCTCTGTTTTTTACGCTGAAATATTGATATTAATGTAGTTAGTGTGTTTGTACTTTATTTTTCTCTTTTATTGGTAGGTTGTTGTTGTTTGTTTGTTGGTTTTTGGTTCTATGAAAGATGAAAATTTAAGTTAATTTTGTAGTATTTGGTTGGTTTTCTATTTTCGGATGTTAATTAATTGGTATGTTTTGTTTCAGTGGATGATGCTAAATTGGTAATTTTCTTTTTGGTTTTCTGTTTTTGTATAATGTATATAGTGCTTAGTAGATCCAAATTTACCAGCCTAAAATAGGAATCCACTTCAATAAATAACTAAGATTTTAAAATAAACTCTATAGTAACAGGCGCGGTGGTCGCGTAAAGACTTTCGCGATATTTGTAACTAGAGGTGTGGTGATACTGTTTTGTCGCGGTCGAATTCACTGTAGCGGAATATTTTTAAAACCTTGCTAATTGTTTGTAAAGCAAAGTGTTTTTCTTGTCTAGATTTGGTGTGTAAGTATGTTAAAACTTTATCATAAATGGGTTTGGTAGTAAGTATTCTGTATGAGGAAGGAGATTCATGATTTGAATTTTGTTTTTCCAGATATTTGTGGCTTCTAGATTGAATGTTCCAGGAGCATGGCAAATGCCTCAGGTGAGTGAGTTCACATCTGTTACTATAAGGATTATGTGTATATTTGGTTTTCCGGGTGAATCACTTAGAATTTTGATTTTGACATATTAGATTGCGCTACTTGTAAAATTGATTTTGCTTTGCAATATTGATCCTACTTGAAGCTACAATTTGTACGCTTGTGATTTTTACACTGAAAATAGTGTAAAGCAATTTTTTTAATGTGCTTTTGGGGTTCTCAGGGTGGCATTGAAGATGGCGAAGAGCCCAAATCTGCTGCAATTAGAGAACTTCGAGAAGAAACTGGAATAGTATCAGCCGAGATAATCACTGAGGTTCGTCCCAAACCTTTTCTTTTCTGCATTTAGTCTCTTCTGCAAGAACAACAGTTGCGATACATATGTTTAACCTCTATAGATTATAGATCAATGACATCTTCTAGAATTCATTAGGCGGAATTAAGCTTTGCGAATGTTTGACAGAGTTTGTGCATTACAGGTTGGTAAATGGTTGACATATGACTTCCCTCCTGCTGTGAAGGCTAAGGTCAATCGTCTCTGGGGAGGCGAATGGCACGGACAGGCACAGAAATGGTGTAAATTTTGTTTTCATCGCTGCATTTCCCTTCTAGTTCGGTCATTTCAGTTGTTTTTCCGCTTCTGACTATGAACATTTATAGGTTTCTCATGAGGTTAACAAAAGATGAAGGCGAAATCAACTTAGCTACAGGTGAAGCAGACCCGGAATTCGCAGAGTGGAAATGGGCAAACCCTGAAGAAGTTATCGAGCAGGTTCGTTTCAAAAACGTGACATGTAAATTGTAATGGGTATTTTGTTTTTCTTCATTCGGAAGACTAATCGCGAGGCTAACAACCGATTACAGGCTGTGGACTATAAAAGACCAACTTATGAAGAAGTTGTAAGAACCTTCAAGCCTTACTTTCAAGGAAATGCAACATCGGCGAAATGTAAATCGACAAAGTGGTGAACTTTATGAGTGTGCATTGTAGCTTAATCCATTTTCTTATCTAATTTTACTTGAATTTGGATTTTTCCAATAACAAACTTCACGCATTCACGCAGTTAACACATTGGTGGTCTGATTAATCTCAATCCAACCGTCATCAATGTGCTGATTACATGAATGTGTGAATTTGTGACCGCTGCAAAATTCAAATTCATTTCACTTAATGAGGTTGGATATAACACTAAGCTATTTGTAAATGGATAGTAGTTAGAACTTGTCTTCTTGTAACAATAAGATGTGTGCAAATGCCATTTTTATTTTCTAAACATGGATGTGATGTGAGGATAATTGTGAATGTGCATAGATTTGTTTAGTAAAGTTGAAAGAATCATGCTGTATAAGAAGTGATAATGAGTTGGTGCCTAAGTAGAAAGGAGCAATTTTGTTGATGACTTTGTGTCTAAGTAAAAGGAGCAATTTTTAGGAGAAAGATTGATTGTGTGTCCAAAAGCCTCTTAGTAGAATATTTGAAAAGACATTATGTTTGAAAAATTTCAACCCTTTGTCATATGCTGCTTTTATGATGTTGAAAATATGAAACTTAATATTACTACTTTAGAATAAGATTCTTGACGACATTGCTGCAAAGTACTTAGAAATTATTTATATGCCTTTGTACATTTGAAGTGTATTATTAAATAACAAGTAAGATTATGGAATCAATTAAGGTGTGATATTAATCATACACAAAAATAGAAATACATAAATAGCATGTTTTGTTAAAGATACGAAGAATAGAAGATGAAGAAACCTTATTAGGTAAACAAATATTAGTACTAGTAGTAAGTTATGTTAGTTTTAAAATTTGAACTTTGACTTTCTATATTAAAACTTTTTCGGTCTCTTTAAGATAACCACCTAGCTACCTAGATAAAGAAATTTTTGTCTTAAATGATTCCTCTTAAACAAGAGGCTGATATAAAGGTGGAATTCAATCACCTCTGTCTTTTACAAAATTTTAACTTGTCGCCCCTACATTATGAGATATTTTTTATTAATCTTTTCATTTCCTTTCACACAATATCTCTTTCTCTTTATGACCGTCAGTTTGTCAACCACATGTTTCATTCCACTCTTTTTCTATCTCTCATTCTCAACATATCAGTAAGAAGGAAAAGGAAGACTTAACGAAACTTAAGATGAGGAAAATAAGAGATTGGGAAAGGAAAGTGATCTTACCTGAGATCAGAAGTAAATTGGTGGTCAGCAACACGTCTTGATATTCAATATCAGGTGAGAAAAAATAGGGGGTGTACCTACAAGACACTCTGATGTTAAAGTTAGTTCAGCGTGAAAGAAGGCAAATACAGAGATTAAGAAGTGAAAGTTCAGTCTACCCGACCCTCCTGCATAGGAGAGTATTTATAATGCCCCCAACGCTGAGTCAAATGTCTCCGCTATGGGCTGAATTTTTAGCCCCATAATGGATGACTGTCAGGATTCCTACGTGAAAGTATGGATGACCTGCTCATGGCTATCATCATGGGTCAACTGCCCCACAATCTTTGGATATTAGACGGACTTGCCCGTTACGGAGGGCGAAATTGCTACGCGAAGTGTGTGGGTCAGTTAATGACATGTCATCGAGTGAGGATCACGTGGAGAACGTGGTTTCCAACGATCCTAATGGATTGGGACAACATTTGGGTCGTCCTCGACACCGCATTGTGTTGAGTCGTGCTCGACAGTGGGCCAGTCACAGGCCCAGTCCAGAACAGGAGCCCCCAAGTCGTTATTCTTAGGAAAATGAGCAATGACTTAGAGTCAAGTCATGTGTCGAGGTGGAAAGGGCTTCGCACAAAGTCAACTTTCATTTGAGCGCGCAATTACGAGCTCGCGTCGTCGTAGACGGTGTTCGCTACAGGCGCCTCTTACTCGTGGGTTTGAATACCCGAGGATGTGGCTACGCTCGTAAGTTTGCTTCAAGTTTCCCCCGAGGACATGCTCGTGAGGGAATTTAGAAGTTGTCAATTGTGCTTGACGACATAAACTCGCTTCAAGTTGTTACTTGTGCTCGACGCCGTAATTCACTTTCAGTTTTTCCCTGAGGCTACGTTCGTGTATGTGTTTACTTTTGCTAAGTACTTTTTTTTCTCGTGTGTGCACTAGTGTTTTGTTTGGAAATTGTTTTTGCTATGTGTATGGGAATCTTGCTCGGCAGTGTCGGTGCTCGACAGTATAAAGAACTCTTAGAGTGATCGGAGTTGGCTTCCGTTTGATAGCGGAGTTAAGATCTCGGTTGAGGTCTTAATTTTGCAGCGTGAACCTTCCATCGCGAGCTGGGTGTTCTGCCTTCATGGTACATCGACAACAAAGCTCGGTTGAGGGTTCCCCGTCGGGTCAAGAATCTGCTCGTCAAAAAAGTGGAAATTTGCCTTTTTGTTCGAGTTTCTTGTTATTTAAGCTTGGACGTTGTGCTTGTACTCGAGCACGCCTCCGCAGTCGGGACGTACCCTGTTGCCGAATGGGTTATGCCGGCTGTCAGGCTTAACTGTAATAATGTTCCATGGTCAAGCAAGTTCTTCCCTGTGCAAGTTTTTTAGGTAGTAAGCCTCATGTTCCGTTTTTTCTCGGACGCGATAGAGGCCTTCCCAATTCGCGACGAGTTTTCCTCGCGAGGATCTTTGTGTTTTTTTCTCAATACTAGACTGTCGATTTGGAATTCCTATTTTATGACTTTGGTGTTATGTCTTGAGGTTATCTTTTATTTCAACGAGGTTTCTCTGAGGGATGCCCCTGATTGAATCTCTTCGACCAGGTCGAGTTCCTCTTTTAGCGACTCGTCGTCCATCTCCTCTTCGAGGGGAGATTCAGTGCATATAGAGGGTTCTCGGATCTCCGCTGGGATGCTTCGAAGCTCTGGCATTTTCCTGCTGTCGCGAGTCTCGAGCATTGTTGGCGGCTTCCTTCTTTTCATACTGAATGTACGCCTGAGCTTTGAGGAGGAGGGCGTCTAGTAAGTAAGGCGTTTCGCTGCCAACTGCTTTTGCAAAGTCACTACGGGGGTGCAATCCTTGCTCGAGTATGTACTTCTTCATATCGTCAATCGTGGAGACCTGGACGACTTCTCGATTGAACCTCTCGATGTATGCTAGGAGAGATTCGTCCTTCCCCTATATGATCGCTTCGAGCGTCGTCTCGGACTTCGGGTGGCGATGGGAAGTGGTGAAGTGCCTTATGAACTGTTTTCTGAGGTCCTTCCAAGATGTTAGTTCCTGATTGGCAAGCATTTTAGTAAAATTTGGTGATATCACAAGATGTCCTACAGGATGTCTTGACATATGCTATTAAGATTCTGCAGGTAGTTATGTTTGTTGTTGCAGGATTTAGTTCATGATGTCAAGCATGATGTCCTAACAGTTGTGAATAAAACATTTTGTGAGAATGTGTTTGTTTATCTGTTACTTTTTGTGCAAATCTTTGCGCTGCTATGATTTGTCTTTTATGGTTCAAATCTACGTGGATTTAGTTCTTATTCAAAAGCGTTTTTTATGCATATATCGTGGAATATTTATGGAATCAAGTGAAGCTATTTTCTGAAGGAAATCTTGAAGATCTGAAGAGTGATTTGATTGGAGCTGATTGGATCAAATCAAATTTGTTTTGGTTTTACTCATTGATGCTAATAATTTTAATTGATCAGATGCTATTTTTGTCAAAGCCCAAGCCCGTCCAAGAGTTACTATTTAAAGGATTCACAACCCTATTTTGCAGTTCAGAGAAGCTAGGTTTAATATAGTGCATTACGTAAGATTTAGAGCTTTCTAGCAATCGTGTGTTTGTGTTAGTGTGTCAGCCATTCACTCATTACGTTAATGTGTGAATTGGACTAAGTTTTGTATTGTAAGGTATTCACTCAAAGCTTGTAAACAAGAGTGTATTGTACTTGATTGAAGCTTTTAAGCAAGATCAAGATTTGTCTTTGAAGAGTGTCTTCTAAAGTTTTATTAACCTGTTATTATCAGTGTTGTGATTAAGGGGGAGTGAGAGGTATCTCATATCTAGGAGTGTCCTAGGTAGAAATTACAAGGGTAGAGATTAGGTGCGAAGATGGTAAACTGGAGAGAGTCTACTGTGCATCTTCAAACTAATTCTATTTAGTGAATTTCCTTCCTGGCTTGGTAGCCCCCGAACGTGGGTGTGTTTGCACCGAACTGGGTTAACAATTACTTGTGTAATTTTTAATTTTGTTATACTTGTTGCCTTTGTTCTTATTGGTGATATGACATATATCAGTGTCGTAACATCGCCTTCGACATCTTATATCTGATACTAGAATTTCAATTAGTATTAGAGCAGATATCCTGCTCTGGTTCTGGGTGAGATCTAGGGACAATATTTTCTGGTACTATGGACAAAGAAGGAGGTTTTGTGAACAGACCACTTGTTCTGGACGGGAGTGATTATGACTATTGGAAACCACGTATGGTTGCATTCTTAAAATCTTTGGATAGTAAGGCATGGAAAGCTGTTATAAAAGGATGGGAACATCTTGTGATTGTTGATAAAGAAGAAAAGGCTACATCTGACTTGAAGCCTGAGGAAGAATGGACAAAGGAAGAGGATGAACTGGGTCTTGGTAACTCCAAAGCCTTGAATGTCCTGTTCAATGGAATTGATAGGAACATATTCAGATTGGTGAACGACTGTGAAGTGGCTAAAGATGCTTGGGAGATACTCAGGACTACCCATGAAGGTACCTCCAAGGTAAAGATGTCTAGACTTCAACTGCTGACTACAAAGTTTGAAAACCTAAGGATGAAAGATGATGAAAGCATACATGAATTTCATATGAATATTCTTGAAATAGCCAATGCTTCAAGTGCCCTAGGTGAAAAGATGTCAGAAGAAAAGCTGGTAAGAAAAATTCTCAGATCTCTTCCCAAGAGATTTGACATGAAAGTAACTGCTATAGAGGAAGCTCAAGACATTTGTAAGATGAGAGTTGATGAACTCACTGG